GATGTTGATATGGATATCGCACCTGGATAGCTGAATAAGGTTTGGGTTTTTTTCTTGCTTTTGATTTCTAGGTTTGTTGGTTATATAATTGTTAAGCTTGTGTTTGATTGAGTATTTATCTAGGTTATCTTGCTCAATTCTTTCATTTGATTTTTTATTTTTGGTTTTTGTTGATTTTTAGATTTATTCAATCTTGTTCTTTGATCACATCACAATCCCAAATTCCTTGTTTTGTTTTCAATCGAGTTTTATTTTTGGGTTTGGAAGTGAAGAGGGAGATGGGGAGATAATGAGAAGTGCAGAGGGAGAGTGATGACTTTAATGAGGAGGAGAAAGAGACGGGGTAAAATGATGATGAGTTACAGCAGTTGGATAGGCTGGCACCCAAGAGGGGGGTGAATTAGGTGACATTAAAATTTCTTGAAAGGTTAAAGAGTAGGAAAGACTTGTGCAAGGAGGAAAGAGATAATATATATGAGATTTATACTGGTTCAGCCTAAAACTTGATCTACGTTTAGTCCTCAAGATTATACTTGAGATTTCCAACTAAAATCACAAGTTTCAATGGGTGCTTGCAACCATAGTATAACTCACAAGACTTAACTTGTCTTGATGCATAAAAAAACTTTGCTATAATCCAACTTGTTACAATCACTTAGAAAACACTTTTTCAAGTTTTTAGTTGAAGAATAAGACTTTCATAGAAAAACTCTTTTGAAGAGTATATAGATTACAAATGAAAACTTAGAAACTTGTGAGAGATTTTTTACAAACTTTATTAAGAATGATAAGTGAATACTATATTTAATGCACAATTGATAGCTTTTTAGAATGTTTAAAAGATAAATAGTTCACTCAAAGATCATAATTCTTATTCTAGACTTGAATTGTATTACATATATAGTTTTGGCAATTGACAGACTGTTAGAATAGTATTTTTAGCTGTTGGTAACATTTCTTGCATGCAACCAGATGTTTCACACATGAAATAGAGCTATTTAAGTTCCAGGCATGCATATGTGACAATTCAAGCATGAATCTTTAGGTATCTCACGCATGTTTTGGAGGGTAAGAATATGCAACCTATTATGTGTGACAAAACTCACGTGTGACCCCTATGTTCTCACACATGAATTGGTTGGCCGAATGCTAAGCTCAATTCTATGAGATAAATCACACATGAAACCAACTCTGTATCATGAGTGGAATGGCTATTTTTTAAAACTCTGTATCATGCGTGAAATGGCAAGTTGTAAAACTTAAACTATTCTGTAAGTTATATCATGCATGGGACAATTATGTACCTAAGCAAGGAATTCATGATAAAAAAATTTAAAATAAAGATGATAGATCACTCAAGATTATAATGTTGAATCAGCCTTAAAATGGCTTAAGACTCAATTTGGCAAAATGTGTTCGATTGACTTGATGACATATCATGTGTAGATACCTTCTAAATAACGCATGAAATGAAACTTTTTAATATGCAAGGGAACACATATGACAATTCAAGCGCGCGTACCTAAAGGTAGCTTATGTAAAATGGAGCACAAAAGCAATGTCAAGGCATCACACAAACACAAGTGACAAATCACATGTGGATCACTCTTGATTCAGGAGTGAAACATAATTTGGTGTGCCTAATAGGATAAATCACATGCGTGACTATGTTGAATCATGCGTGAATCATTAAAAAGTGAGAAGCTCAACTTCTATGATTTAATACAGGCTAAAATGACATAACTCACAAGTTTAAATATATTAAGATAAGTCTTAAGATGGACAAATGAGACTTATGAGTAAAGATTTATGCATTCATTTCAAGGAAAATAATTTTTGATTAAGCTTAAAAGTTTTTAATTGAATATAAGAGAATTAAATAACTTATCCCATAAATCTTCATATTCTCTTGATTCTTCATGCTTTTGACGTTTTGTCTTCATCTATGATTTTTTATATATCTATACACATAACAAATATCTCTTCTTTTATTTTTGTAATCATCAAAATACATGATCCAATAGGAGCCATACGAACTGCCACATGTTAATTTTTAGTCAACAAAGTTTATTTAATAGTTAAATTTTGCTCCAATTAATGGCAGGGTAAGAATGATCTTATTTTAAAAGTTAAGGGCAAGTATAAACTAAGAAGAGTTTAGAAAAAATGGACTTTAACCCTAACAACAAAAGAAGAAAGAAAGAAAGAAGGGTAAAATAGTGAAGAAAAAGAGAAAGAAAGAAAGAAAAGACTAGAGAGGTGGTGAATGTGAGATTGAAAGCAAAAGAATAGAGAGCAAAGTTTGATTTTGGAATAAAATATACTACCATAAACACAAAAGCATTGCGAGATAACAATAAGAATGAGAAATTATAGTCATGAAAATCCAAAATAGATCGCTGTCTTCTCAGCATTATTCATGCAATCATATGTCCTTTGGGCTTCCTTTAATATATAAATCTTTTGTCAACATCCTCACCATACACCAAGTATATTACTATTCTCTTTATATCAAACTTATGTGCAAAAGTTACTATAAAACTCCACTTCATTGTTGGGCTCCAAATTAGAAATTATGTTTTCCCATTTATCATCATTAGAGGTAGTTATTGCATCTCGTTTGAAGAATTCAATAGTAGCCTTAGTGTGATTTGATATCAAGACACTAAGAGGATATATAGATGCCATGCTATCTTCAGAAGAAAAATAGACAATGTATAGGATCAATCCTTTCAAGCTTCTACAAGGAACTTGAGGAACCTTAAACAATAATGAGGATCCTTGGCTATTAAAGTTAAGCTAATTTGGATAATTGTCTCCTGGAAGAGAATAGTCACCAACTTTGCTCAATCCCTAACTCATCAGTACAACAAGACAAAGGGCACATAAATTAGGATGAGAATAAAGATGTTAATTATGATCAAATCACCAGTGTAGACCTACATAACTAATATGGAGTTTAAAATTAATTAGGTTTCCAAAACTACTAGGGCTTAAAAGTGTATGAGCTTGATGTAATAAATTATACTAGAATTCATGTGTTGGGGGGAGTGTGTGTATTAGTATGTGAGTTTTACTTAATCAACATTCTAGTGGATTTATATGAAAATGAAATGAAAGTAAAACTACCATAAAAGGTGAAAAATACAAATAAGGCATTACCAATACATCACATTTACAATAATCTTTTGAGTCATGCATGAAACAATTATAAACTATATATTCATATCCTTGTATCAAGTATATAGATATTGCACTTTAGAGAATGCCTATGTTCTCCTCAAGAATTATGTGTAATATTGATCATAGGAATGGGGAAAAAGTCATGATTTAATAATTTAACACTTTATGTGCCTTCTAAATATATGTTTCTACACAAATTAGGCATACTGCTTGAGAACTTTGTACATATTATTGAAATATATGAAATTGAAATAGTAAGGTGAAGGAAAAAGAAAATGGATAAGGCATTTTACTAAAGATAATCAAAATGATCATGTCTATGTTTGACATTTGAAATTAGTCAAACTAATATGTAAATGACTTCACACTAAAATGTCAAAAAAAACACCACTTAGGTGTAGAAATAGGTGAGAAAAAGTGTTGTTCATCATCATCATCATCTCATTTTGATATAAATTAAATGAACCAAGGGAAGTGAGATAAAGAGAAGAACCTGTGATATACTCTTCAAAAGTGTATCTATATCTTTGTTGAACTCTCCTACATGAATAGTTAGAGAACTCATGAAATTTTATAACCTTGCCATGTGAACTTGCTGAGGAAAATCAATTGTTACCGGAGTGTTCTTGCATGAAACTTGAGATTTACTGATCTTGGTTTGAATATTGCATTACTTTTGGCAAATAAACTATTTGAAAGACCTTGGAGGTAATATGGTATAGTACTCCCAAATACTTAAATCAAGGACTTTGGAATATTTTTTGGCGATGTCCAAGACCAAATGAGAGATGGAAATACATCATGAGAGAGTCTTTCATGGCCGCACAAAGACACATATTTAATGCTTTTTGATCTTATCAATGAAAAAGGCACTTGTGTTATTGCAGTTTGATTTGCCATTAGAGTAGTCAAAGATTCCATATGCTCAATATCTTCTTCCAACTTATCAATTTTTGTGCAACCATCGATATTGAGAGTTTTTAAACTCTTTAAATTACAGATACTTCTTGGGAGATAGATGAGCCCTTTACAATCCTTTAAATTTAACAAAATAAGATATTTAAGACATTCGATAGATGAGTGAACTATAGACAAACTCTTGCAATCTTCAAGAATCAACTTTTCAAGATTTGGCAACTTTGAAAAGTCTAGTGTTTGTGTCAAGTAACAAGAGTGACTAAGATTAAGAATTTTCATCCTCTCCAATTTTTGCAAAATAAGAAATTTTACATGAAAACTTTGATATCTATTGAAAAGAATTAGAAAAAGATAGAAATATAAATATGATTACTAATCCTAAATAACAAGAATAAATTAAGTACCTGGCTATTCTTCCACACTTGTATGAGACTACTATATTCTAAGTCAATAGCAACTAAATTTTCTTGGCAGAAGTTATCTGGCATGTAACTTAAAGAAAACCCATGCCAATGAAGCCATCGCAATTCTTTTAAAAGATTCTCATAGTTCCCAAAAAGTTTTACATGATTAAGTTAAAGCAATCAAAGTTTCTTCATCCTCTTAAAAGCTTTAATGTTGAAGGATAATGTATTTTTACTTGATAAGTTCAAAGCCAGCCCCTTAATAGTTTTAGTCCCCTGCAAAATAGTAAGTGAAGGAGAATCAACTTTTAAAATTTAAATAGTAAATAAAACATTCAGGGAATTTTTAGATTCAGAGAATAAAGGAAAAGGAGTGATTACATCTAATTTCTCCTTGGAAATTTTGATTGAGAAGAACAAGTAAAAAGTTATAATTTTTTTAACAAGATCATAATCAAAATGGTATTCTTTTACTTCCCTTTTTCTTTATTCTCCTTAATACAAATACAATCACTTGAATTAGTGCATTCAATTCATTAAGAAAAGATCTCACAGTATTATTTTTCAAGACATGGAGTACATCATCATGAAACCATAATCTGCTATGCTTCTTAGGCTCCGGTGATATCTCACAAATGATCTCTCTTCCCATGTCACATAATAAACTATGCATGCCAAGCTTGTTATTCTTGTCAACCCTCACAAGGCTATGCTGTACAAGTCATGTAATTCCAATTTCTGCATGAAGTCCACACTTATTTATATTTGTGTAACATAACTTCTATCTTTACCAATGAAGAAACAACAAATGTCAAGAAATATCTTTCTCCATATGATCACTCAACCCATCATAGCTTATTTTCAACTTTTCATATATATGATCATGTGGAATTCCTTATAGCTTTTGCAAAACACTCTCCTAAGCAGATGTTGTCCTATCAAACAAATATGAACCAAGAACTTCAAGAGCCAGTGGCAATCCTTTAGAGTAAGCAATTACCTTTCTTGAAAGTTCAACATAATTTTCTATTGGACTTGCTTGCTTAAAAGCATGCCAACTAAAAAGTTCAAGGGATTCAAAGTCATGCAATTCTTTTATATTGTATACTTTATCCACTTGAAGAACATCAAGTATATGCTTATCCCTAGTAGTTATAATCTTCTACTTCCTGGACCAAACCATTCACGACTTCGGCATAAAGCATTAATTTGGACCAACTTATCAATATCATCAAGCACAACAAGTGCCCTTCTATGACAAAGCCTTTCTTTCATCACATTTTTCCCCAATCCATTGTGTTGTAGATTTGTTTTTCTTTCTTTCAAAATTCCTGAAAGAAGTTGTTCCTGTAAATTGAATAGGCCACTACCTTGCTCCCACAATTTCCTTATATTTTCTAGGAAAAATTTCCCCTAAAATTTCTTTCGAATTTATTGAAAATGGCTTTAGCAATAGTTGTTTTGCCAATACCTCCCATTCCCCAAATTCCGACCAAGATTATTTCATTTGAGTTACACTCAACAAATTAGTAATCTCTTGCACACGAGACTTAACTCCCACTAAGTGATTAGCAACAAACAAGTATGTTGTATCATCTAGTTTCACCAAAACATTTTCAACAATAAGATTAATTAAAGCTGCATCAGTTTGTTAAAAAAATAAAAGATTGAAATTAAAAAATGGGAAATCATTTACAAAATCTTTATAAATATCCAAAACAAGTTATTATAACAAAAACATGATATGTGCTTTAAGCTAAGTAAGGGCATTATCAAAACTAGGAATAAAACTAGAAGATAACTATCTTTTCTAGATTCTGTGTGGAGAGGGGAGGGGTACGAGTAGAAAGAGATGTAAAATTTGTAAGCTTTTAGGTAATTTACATTTGTTTATATATAGTAGTATGATATGCTTACAAAACAAAAATCAATTATGTATTTCTTATTAGTTAATCATCTTTCATTATAGTGATATTGTTAATGGGATGCCTGTAGGATTATATAATTATAACTCATGAATAGTATGTACCTTATGAAGACCCTATAGATTCTTAATTAATCTCTCAAAAAAATGAGAGAAGCATTAAAAGGTGGGGCAATATCCTTCTAAATAATATTTTAAGAGTAAAACCACTCTTCCATTAAAGACCCTTCATCTTTTTCATTATATACTAATATGAAATAATATAAAGCTTATGCACAGTGATAGCAAGGCATTTTGCCCCATTTTAACTATCTAACATGGGCCAATAGAGTTGAAAGTGAAAGTAGTAGGAAACAGGCTTGATTTTGGTAATGAAATTGTAGCAAAACGGGTCAAATTGCCTTATTGTCACTATGCATGAGCCACACAACTATTCCATATCAACAGATAATGGAGAAGATGGCAGGTTTATAAAGAATGCGTGATTTTGCTCCTGAAAGAAATTATTTAAGGGATATATTATCCTACTTTTAGTATAAGATGCCCAACCTCTTAAAAAAAATTAGGGAGAAAAAATGGTCTTCTTCCCTTTTTTTCTTTTTCAAAGCATGTGCAAATAGAAACATTTTCAAGTTTATGAGAATCTAAAATAGTAGGCAAGTAAGATAAAAAGATTGAGTACATTTACACTAATAATACTATAACTCAAACATTAGCTTTGATGATTCCTTTGTTTTCAATTTCAAAGAATACATAAAAAAAGATGTCTAAAGTTTTAAGAATCCAAAGTGATAGGCAAGTAATAGAAGATCACCTGTAATTATATAAGTCCCACCCAAATATATTGGTAGCTGCAGTGAGCTCTTTCCTCCAGGTTTTTTCTTTTCTAGCTGACGTTCTAGCAATAAGTTCATCAAATGCTTTTCTAAAATTGCCTAATTGTTTTCTTACTTCAAAATCTTTCACATCATAGAATATAGGCAAAATTTCTTGACCAGTATTTCTGTGACACTCTAAAATTTTCTCCAATTCTTGCAAGCACCAACTAGAATTTGCATAATTTATCGAGAATACAACAATTGAGATTTTAGAACCTTCAATTGCGTGTAAAAGTGCAGATGAGATGTTTGTTCCCTTTTTGAGTTTTTCATCCATGAAAACTTTTAAGCCAACATTTTTCAAAGAAGCATAAAGATGACCAACAAAAGACTTACGAGTATCTTCACCTCTAAAACTCAAGAAAACATCATAGATGCATTTGGGTCGGGTCTTAGAAGGATTCATTCCTTTTCCCATCTCTTGCAAATATTCATGCATTTCAAGCTTGTTATTCTTGTCAACCTTTAGAAGGCCTCAAGCAATAAGCACACTTATGTCAATTTCAGCACAAAACCATAATCATTTAATATTTCTGTCACATATTGTCTATCTTTACCCACATAAAAAGAAGCTATTCATGGAATACATCTTTCTGAGAATTTTCTAAGTACTCATAGCTTAGTTGAAGCATCTCAAGTATTGCATTACTCCTAAATCTTGGAAGCTTTTTGAACAAACTTTTCCATTCTCGTGATGTCTTATCAATTAAAAGAGATCCAAGGACTTCAAGAGCCAATGGTAACCCCGCACAAAGAGTAACTGTTTTCTTGGAGAAAGTTATGAACTCACTTGGAGGACTAAAATGCTTAAATGCATGCCAACTAAAAAGCTCAAAAGATTCAACTTTGTCCATCTTTTTCATTTCATACAACGAGCTCACTTTAACTTGATCATGAACTTTAAGTTGATTGAGAATATGTTTATAACGGTGGTGATGAATACAACACTCCCTACACCAAGCCATTCAATACTTCTACACAATACAATTATTTGGTCTATTTATTGACATCATCAAGCACTATGAGCACCTTTTTCTTATGCAGTATTATTTTTATTTGTCTACTTCCCATTTCAATTTGATGTATCTTATCATGTTTTGTTTCTAATATATCAAAAATAAGTTGCTTTTGTAAACTAACTAGACCATCTTCTTTCTTTGATACATCCTTAATATTTGTAAGAAAACTGTACTCTCAAACTTATTTCTAATTACATTATAAACAGCTTTGGCAATAGTTGTTTTACCAACTCCTCCCTCTTCCCATATTCCTATAATTCTTACTTTTTCATCAAAGTGACACAATTGAAGCACTTTTGCCACACGACGCTCTATCCCTACGGGATGATGTGAGATGAATAACAAGGACTTATCATGTAGTATTCTATGGATAGAATTAATAATATGACTAACAATTATAGAATCACTCCTGCAAAAAAAAGTGATAAAATCAAGAACACGTTAAAAACAAAATTAAAATATGTATCATGACAAAGTACATGTGATTTATTCAAAGAAAAATTATATGTGCATAAATTATAAAGATAGTACATTTTGTAATAGAAGAATGAGACTAGGAGACAACCATTTGATTTTGTTATATGACATCACAAAAAACATTTTTTTTTGTGTTTGACCAGAGATGTGTCAACTAATATTGCATATAACTAAAAATGTCTTAGCATTCTTATATAGCCTTGGTTTTTTTTTGGTTGAATAATGTAGTGCGCATTACTATAGGGTTTGACTTGACTAAATGTTATAGACAATTTAAGGGTCTATTTTTATTAATTGTTCAATCATGGTTAGGTTATATATTTGTTTGAAAAAAGAAGTAAAATATGCATTATGACAAGTGCATATGATTTATATATAAGAGAAAGTTATATGTGCATGATGCTTAGAGTACTATCATCATACAAATTCCTAAACAAATAATAAATGAGGTGTAAATTATAATGATAGTACATCTTCTAATTTAAGGATTTTTTGTCCTTCCTAGTCATGCCACTAAACAATCTTGTAACATAAAAGGGTATTTTACTATGACATTTTTTGCTTAAGGAAACAATTTTATTTACAAAAGTTCCAAAGTATTACCTAATGCAAGTATAAGCAACAATTTTGTATGTTCCTATTGAGTATTGGTTTCCTAATTTAAGCAAACAAATTTTTGGCATCATTTAAAAATGTCCCTAAAGTAGAATAGGCAACAGTTTTCAAGTGTTGAAATAAAATTTTTAAATAAGCAATATAAAAACATTGCTTGTGAAGGTTCTTTATGGAAACATTTCAAAAATGCACTCTATCCAATAGGCAACATAGATATAAATGTTGCTTATAGATCTTTTTTTTTTGCTACATTTAAGACACACATAAAAATTTATTTTTCTAATTTTTTATATACTTTTATTTATTTATTCTCTTAATTTTTAATAATATTTGCATAAATTAAAAAATGAATTTAAAAATTATACATGTCTGTATGTATATAATATTTTGCATTAAATATTAAAATGTCAAGTTAGTAGAGTGATTAGAATCACCTCTTCCTTTCAACAGGTTCAGGGTTTAAATCTAGGTATAGAAAAGAAATATTAAATTTTATTTAATCATTTCACAATAGTTTTTAAATGTTTCCTATTTTATGTAGTCAACATCTCCAAGGTGTTACAATAAGTCTTTCAAAAACTATTGCCCATTCTTATAATTTTGGGTAATGGTTTTACAAATGATAATGTGGCCTAGTGGTTTATGATTGATTAAATCAACTCATTCTTTTGTTATAGCTTTTTATTTACTTGTTTTCATTTACTAATTTAATATTCCCTTAATCCCATAATTGTTTACTTGAAAGTAACAAGGATCATTGTTCTCCTCTATGTACAACCTAAATACTTTGCAATTTAACTACATCAAACCTACACACTTGTATGG